TGGGTTTCGGCATGGCCGTTTCCGATGACGGGCACCATGTATACGCTGTTGGCAACTACACTCCACCGGGCAACTACGTTGGCGACTGGAACCAGAATGTGCCTGCGCCCGTCAACGGAAAGATTTGGGTGCCGGATCGCAGCGAGTACATGTGAGGCCGCCGGACCCTCGCAAGGCAGTGTTCAGGTGGTGCTGATTTGATCGGGAGCTACATTCTGATCCCGCCTCGCTTTCCTCCGCATTTAATTTCCTCTCCCACTCTCACTCTTCGGCCATTAGTATAGCTGGCTGCCTGAAACTCAAAGCAGTTTTAGTTGGCATCCACTTGCTTAATCATGTCGACCCTTTGCTTCGATCCTTCTTTTAGTTTGTCAAATTAAATGTTGAAGGCAATTGGCCAAGTATGATTTTCTTTTATATTTGCAAAGAGAATGTCCAAAGTATGACGTGACATGTCCCTTTTATTCATTTATACACCATCTTCGCTTGTTTTTAACTTTGGCCAGAAGTATAGATTTGCCGCCAAGGCGGCGCGACCTCGGCATAGCTTTGCTTCTTTGTGTGAAACAGTGTGTGATCATGAAGTACGTTGGTCAACCACAGCGTCGATTTGCAGTTTGTTGATTTCGCACTGAAGTTTAGATTGACGCAGTCGTTCGGCTCCGGCGGAGATCGGCTAAACTTACGCCAGTCGTGCCAGTCGATGGCCCTTGTCTAAAGTAGATTTTATTCTTACAAACAGTCTATTCCAACACCAAGTCAAGAATACCCGTCGCTTCCTGGCTTTGTATGCATGTTCACAACAACGACCGAGACCCAGCATCGATAGCAAAACGAACTGAATAAAAGGGGATATTGAATTATTTCGCCAGTCATTCTAACTACTTTTGTGTTTAATCGAAGGTATAAAGAGCAAGATGGTGTGGCCTTTTGTATGTTCGCAGTTGTATGCAAGTTGTTTGACCTTGTTTTCGCAACATGGTCATATTGGTAGGAAGACTTGGAGGAAAGCACCGAGTCCGGAGTCCCTTGTATGCATCATCATTTCCAGAGTCGGACCGCGGACGTGGTACATTCCCAGACGTCTCGTCGGCACCATAGTCGGCATCGTCAGTGAGCGTTGCCATTCTTAGCACCGCACTACAACTTGTCAAAAAGGCAGGTAAAGCCGATCCTTTGACCAATTGTCTGCTAAACAATCTTGGCATCTCTCATTCCGCCCTGAACTATTCATGAATTCTATATCCTAACCCCTTTACTATCACAATTTTATACTCGTTCATTTAAATAGTGATCCCTTTTGAGTGGATTTCATGAAAACTCTCCAAACCTTCATCACTCCCCTTCTCCCTTATAATGGGAATGTTGATCAGTCTGCCATATTGTTACAGAGTCTTCCTTTCATAGGTCTTATCATAGTTTCCCTCTTGCCCCATATGATCCGTCTGCTATCTCTCTGATTAAAGTATTTCATTCGACTTCTGCAACCCTATCTGCGTTATTTCCCACACTATTCCTCTGAAAGACTAACTTGAGGCTAAAGCCCCAGAGTAATTCTGTTGGTCAAGACTTTGCTTCATGAACTACTTCTATAATCAAATACTTTTACTGTTAACCAACTAGCTCTAGTCTCCACCGTATCCATCGTGCTTCTCTCCATAGTGCCATGTCTATGACGTCCTATGCCAACCCACAAATGTTGTTTAGCAGACAATTGGTCGAGGGATTGGCCTCCCTGTAGTAGTTGTTGTTGTAGTGTTATGCTTAGACTGGAAATGCTCACTGACGATGTCAGCGAAACGTCTGGGAAGGTACCGCATCCACAGTCCGACTGGAAATTGTCATGCATACTATGGATTCCGGAGCAGATGCGTTCCTCTAGGTCTTCCTACCAATATGACCAAGTTGCAAAAACAGCGGCAAATAACTTATATACTTTTGTAGAAGTGGATTGACCTTGTTGCAACTTGGTTTCGCCAGGATCGTAGTTGGCATCATCAGTGAGCTTAGCCATTCTCCGCACCAAGCTACGAACTCGTCGAAGATACAAGTTGAAGTCAATCTTCTGACAAACTTGTCTCTGGCAAATTCATAGCTTTGTGCGGAGAATGGAAAAGCTCACTGATGATGCTCATCCTGACAACTACTATGACAGACGACTTCGGACTAGGTGCATTCTACTAAGTCGCCCTGACAACAATACCAAGTTGCGACGAGATCAACCCACTTCTATAATTCGAAAGGAATCTGCGACCATACCAGAGGCCACAACATCTTGTTCTTCATATCTTCAATATATACTTTTGTGTTTGTATGCGAGTGGGTGATGGCGTACGTGTAAAATCCAAGTTGTGGATTCATTAGTAATTGGGAACAAGTGTAATGTCCTTTCAGAGTCACTAAGTCTCAGTGATTCAAATACAATTGTGCTTGCCTTTGTGTAATCATCGGAGGTACGTCTGCTGAGTTTATGAGGCGTGTATAACGAGTATATATATAGTCAAATTATCACTTAGTCGAACAGTTGACTGATCTATTTTTGTAGTGGGCTCCGCACCCATTTCCTCCTTAGGTCAATCGCCTAATTTCCTCCCCGATTTTCTGTCTAAGTAGTACATAATCTCATAATTTCGAAATCTTTTATTCGGCATTAAGCAGCAGGAGTAGCATACCTAGTCAGTGGGTCGAATCACTTGAGAACGTTCACTATGATATTTTCGTTTCTAAGTAGGCTTTCGAGATTACTGGCTTTGCTTGATAGACGATCCGACCACAAAAAGATATACAGGAAAGGCCTGGCATTGTTGGCAATACACTTATGCACTATAACTCAAGGGCATTCGTAACATGTGCGACAACGGCTGATGTGTCGAAACTGTACGGTGCACAATTCTTTATTCGAGTCTCCCTGCTGACACCTAGGCGAGAGACCAGCCTGGACAAGAATACCTTTAGGGAAGCGAGTCTATGTGAAATTCAATGGAAACGTGAGTATCTCTTATTCGTATGATTGTTTGC